GTGTTTTCTAACAAACCGTTCGGTGTGTCTGTTTTCATCCTGCCAAGTGTACAGCACCCTGGTGGGTAGCACAAAGGAGAAAGAAGAGAGCGCACAGTGCCTGCCTGGAGCAGCTCACAGTGCAGGGTGCGCCAGTGGCAGGCTCGAGGCTGCGTGTGTGACTCTTGAACACGGCAGGAACTAGAGAAGGGCAACCCTTTCCCATTTTTCTTGCACAGCTATTTGGAGACCCTCTCAAAAGGATCACAAACTTAAAAATGAACCATTTCATTCCTGTCCTTTAGGCAACAGAAGACCAGAAAATCATAATGTATTTTAGCTTTATTGAAGACACAGTACAGTAGACAAACAAGTAGATAAACACATGCTTTATAAAATATACATTCTCATGTGTGAGAAAATATAAATAGACACTAGGAAATGGCCACACTGAACACAACAACTTGGCTTATAACTCTCTTTAGGTACATCTAGTACCAGGGCTGCTCAGACTGACATCCTCTGATAGGGGTAAAAAGGGAGAACAGGGGGAAAGTAGAGGGTAGAAGTAGTCTCTCAGTGGATCAAGAGGCCACTTTAAGTAGCCAAAAGCTATTCCAAGAGCACTTGACCCCCCGATGATCAATTTCTCTTTAAAGACAGAGTTGACAAAAGATCAGTCTACTCCTTACATTTGAAAACAGGCTCAAATCAAGCTTTTTATTCACCTTCACCCCACCTATTGGTGGAGATTATTAGGACTGCTAAGAAACACTCAACACACAACCTTGAAGGAGCAGGTCCAAATATTACTCCTCACCCATGCATGCACGCACACACACACACCCCTACCCCTTACTACCCACAAAACCTCCATATGATTTGTGGGCTTTCAGGTGTTGTTTTGTTAAGAGAAGCTTATAACATATCTCAATTCAGAACATGTTATTTTTGTCAACAAACGAGGAGGAAGGGAGGAAGGGGGGAAGGAAGGAAGAAAATTAAGGCTAACTGATGTTGGCTTAGGTTGTACTCCAAACAAAAATGTTTTAAATTAGAAGAAGAAAGAGGGGAAAACATCTGCCACAGTGAACTGGGAAAGAGACCACGTAAGAGAAAAATGAATCATTACTTACAGGTTGCCTAAAAATCTTAGCTCAACTTTCTAAGGTCCAACTGTTTCACAATTACTTCAGTAATCTGCATCAAGAAGCAAAGTAAGAAATGGAGGCTGTAGCATAAAATGACAGCCAATTTACCTTGGATACTCCATTACCCTTTTGGCATTTCTGTGGATATTAAAATGATAAGATGCCATAACACACTCAGGTAAAATACTGGGTATAAACCTAAACATCTCAATTCCAACCCCATTCCAAATGGAGTCCCACTGATACAAAGAAACAGGAATAAAAATTAAAGAGTAAAAGGGAAGGTCATAATACATTATAGGCTTTAAAAGTTTTTATGATGGTCATACCATTTGGGTTAGGAACCTTATAGATTTTCTCAGAAGAATAAGCCCAGAGTTTCATGTTTTTAGCCACTAACACGAAACTGGCTCCTTTTGTCAATCAAAGAACATAATCTTTTAGTTTAAAAAAAAAATCTTTTTAAGTGTTCCACACTTACTGTATATAAAGAATTCTGAAAGACCAAGTTTTAAGCCTGTCTTGCTTCTGAAGATTTCCAATGATAAAACTGAAAGAGAGCTAAAAGTCATCTTGCCCATATTTGATTTCAATGCAGAAATTTCTTCAATGCTATTAACAGATGATTATTTAGCTTCTGTATATACTTTTTCCATGAAAGGCTGATTATTCCAATTGTCAGACTAATCTAATCGTTAAGAGTGTTAGCTTATATAGAATTATTGGCAAAAGTGTGGACGACATCTCCCTGTAACTTCTTCCCCACTGATATGACCCCTGTCTGCTGGAATAAAAAGAGTGAATCTAATCTTTGTTTCAGATGACAACCCTTTAAGTAACTAAAGACTTTTATCATCTCTCCCTTTTCTCAGGAAAATGGATCATAGAGTCTAAGTTGCTTAACATCTTAATGTTTCTTTTACAACCTGCCAATGGGCAATGTGAAGGCAACTGTTTTTAAACATGTAAGTCACCTTACAGAGAAAATACACATTTAAAGCATTCTAAGATGGCACATTAGAGGGAATGGCACACTGGGCTGGGTTTCTGGTATTTCCTATCCTACAGATTAACTTACATCTAGGGAAAGCACTTTAGAGGCTACTGAGTGCCAGGCAGCCAACGGGTCCGGCATAGACTCTGTGGCAGGAAGACTTGGAGTACAAGCACAATGTTATTTCTTCTTCCAGGTATACTTACAGAATCAGTCTAAGAGGGGCACAAACAAATTAAGAGAATTTATGTATCCCTACTGATATGAAGTGGTAATTGGGACAATATTTCTCTCAGCATTTTAGTTTGCCTTGCTTTTGCAACATTTTTTATTAAATTGGTGGCAGGCAGACATTACACTGATGGGAAGAAACACGGATGAGCCACTAATCCAGTTTATAGTAGAGCATTTGCTATATGCTCTACATGTGCAATACTGAAAAATTTCAGGAATTCCAACTCCTAAGATTAGAATTTAGTAAATTTACTATTTTTTAAGACCAGGGATAGGCTATTCACATTTAAACAAATTCCTGACTCGTTTTTCAGGCAAGTTATTTAGTTATTTAGGAAAGCTAGCAATACCTGGGAGGACATCTCAACCATTCGAGTTGGCAGAGAACCTGGCTATTCGGGAGACCAGCCTGACACCACTGGCAGTAGAAAGACCACTGCTAAAGCAGAGGCAGCAATCATGTATTTTAAGTTTTCTAGAGCACGGGTTTGCAGCTTGTTTTTTGTCCTCTCACATGTAACAGCTGATGCTCACTTGCAGCCTTGTTCTAACTCCACTTTTTTCATTAAAGAAAGTCCATCAGAATGTCAGAGTACTATAATTAGAGAGATGACCTTGAATACATTAGAAAGGTGAGTCACAAACTAGTTACAAATTAGTTGTGGCACACCTCTCAACTGATTCTGATACTCTGGTGTACTGTAATACTAGCATTCAGACCTGGTGTTCTGGATGGCAATGGGTGGTTCTCAATCTACTCAAGATTCTTTGTTTACTGACACTGTTTTAGAAGCTGAATATTTCTTCTCCTTATGAGGATTTCTTATAGCATTACTCCTGCTAGAGAGGAAATAAATCTGGCTCAAGTCAGAGTAAGCAGCATCACTCCTGTTCTACTCTAAAAAATATTTCATGAAAGCAGCTTTTTATCAGAGTAGATAATCCTCCTTGATTCCAGGAGGGGTCACAGATTCATAGAATGTTACAGCTGGAAAGGGCTTTAAAGCATCTAGTAAAATGCCCTCATTTCATAAATGAGAAAGTCAGGCTGAGATGTAAAGGGACTTGCCCTTGATTACACAACAAGTAAGCAGCAGAGCTAGGAACTAAATCAGGTTTCGTGATTCTAAGTCAGTCCAGTACAAATTATACTGCAACCTAGTAAAGTAAGAAGATGGGTCAGAAATTGAAGGGAGAAGAAAATAGTGATACTTAAGGAGTTCAAAGCAAAAATGAAGAGAGGCTGACAATTTAAAAAGGAAAAAGACAAACGCACGATGGCAAAAAACAGCTAGAAAAGTGCTGCTGCCTATGGGAGAAAAATTTAGGATTGAAAAACAGTATGAAATTCAGCTAAACTTCCTGGCAAAGAGCTGAGAAATTACGTGAGCTTAAAACCCTTGAAATGCACAATGATTTAGAAATAGATTATTTTCATTTAAGTGGTTGAAGTCATCTAGTATGTAACTAGTCCTCACTAAATTTAGATGATAGAATCCAACAGCCTTTCTTTTTTTTCCGAAAGCAGAAAGAAGAGCTTTAGTCCATTACACTTTATTAGAGCACTAAGTCTTTTGTTTACATAAAACTTTTTGCTATCAGAAATTCAAGAAAACTTTTCGGCTTAGATAATCACTTGTACAGGGCTTCCCTGGTGGCACAGTGGTTGAGAGTCCGCCTGCTGATGCAGGGGACACGGGTTCATGCCCCAGTCCGGGAAGGTCCCACATGCCGCGGAGCGGCTGGGCCCGTGGGCCATGGCCGCTGAGCCTGCGCATCCGGAGCCTGTGCTCCGCAGCAGGAGAGGCCACAACAGTGAGAGGCCCGCGTACCGCAAAAAAAAAAAAAAAAAAAAATCACTTGTACAAAACAAGGACCACTCTAAAGCTTTACAGTATAAGAATTTCTGCACATTCTCCTATTCCCAAAAGCAGTCTTCCCTTCTTAAGACATACTGTGCATTGGTAGAAGAGATATTATTTTAAAAAACAAACACACACACACACACACACACACACACACACACACAGAAAAAAAAAGCAATCTTTGGTTTCCTCATCAACTAAGTACTTTGCTGAAGGAAGATATTCCCCAAACAAGTTTTCCTTTATGTACATATGACAATGACAAGACTGCTAGTCTTTTGAAAAAGCCTTTTTATGCTTGAAAGATTATATTACCTGGCACTTGTAAACAGATCACAAATGATTAGCTGTACAAATCTTTAGGCATAAAGAAAGTGGTTAATTACACCAAGATTGTGTTTGTGTGTATGCAATCACTAGGTACCCTGCTTCTATACTTATACTTCTTAACAAATACATATTTAAAACTTTAAACAAAGTCTTTGGATTCACTAAACCAAGTTGTACAAAATCTGTGGTCTGAGAAGCAGCTGTCAATATTATAACTGAATATTATATATAATTTTGGCATATCAAAAATATTTACATTGCAACATATATGACCAATGAATACGAAAATTATTTATAAATGCACATATATATATAGTGAGATCCCTGGGCAATAGGGACCAAAAAAAAAAAAAGAGAGAGAGAGAGAAAGAGAGAGATTCACAAGAATACAAAACGCTCGACCTAGTAATAGTTGGTCAAGTCTGGGATTCTTGTCGAAGACCTTGAATATCAAAGCCCCACTCTCAACTATAGGATTAAAACCACTGCAGAATCCCCGGCACACTTCCCGGGGGGCTCCAAAGTTATTTTTGTTCCTTGGAAGGCAAAATAGAACAGCGTTGTTTACTCAGGATCATTCTGTAGGTTGAGACAATCCAGGGTGTTAAGCAGCAATGAGACTCTCCCTAACAGGCCATGAGCACTTAGGCACATCCCAGTAGAACCATAAGACAGCACTCTGTTCTCTATCTTCCTCTGCCTGTGTTGCACATTTTCTATTAGATGTACCCATTTCTGTCAGCCATTACCCTTTCTTCATCAAGTATAAGCCCAAACAAATGTCTGGCCCCCCTTGATGTGGTCAGATGTAATTGTAGACAAAGAGCAAAACAAATGCTGACTTTGGGGTTTCTTCCGAACTCTGAGGTAGTAAATACAAAATCAACTAATTTGAGTCTGCCCAGATTTCATTCTGGAGTGAGTTTCATGTGCCCTCACTGCCATCTTGAATGTTCCGAGTCCTGCTAAAATCAAAAGTGTGGTCGTGTAACCTGTGACAGGGCATGGGGGAAGTGGAACAGTCTGGATCACTCTCTGCCAGGCCCTCGTTTTGATGGAGTTGTGGTGACTCAAAGACTGACTGTTGCGATAAAGGAGGATGAGGCATACCTGGTTCTTTGCTTATGTTCCACAGAGGCCGCTGCAAGGGTTCTGAGAACAAGAGACAGTAATAATTATCAGTGGTGAATGGAAGTTTAAAATTAATTTTCTAAAACTTAGTTTTCTTCTACCCAAGTCTTCAAAGAAATAATAAGAAATAACCCAGTATTCCTGAATAAGGATGTTAAGATAAAATGTATACTTGCCATTTTCTTAGCAAAAACAAAAACAAAACAAAACAAAACAAAAACTGAAACCATGGTCTTTCAAACCCTTCTACTCAACAACTTTACCAATTAATTACTGAAACCATGCTATGTGTCATCTGCTTTCACCTATTACTGGTGTTTCTACTGCTATAAAACTTAAAACTCTTTAGACACATGGAAACAGACTAGAAGAGAATTAGTATCCATATAGTAATGAAAGTTGCACAATACATAGGTAAAAATTATTGATTCAGTGCAGTCATTGTATCTTTAAATAATAATTAAATGCCTATCTTAAAAAAAATCATTTTGGGCTTCCCTGGTGGCGCAGTGGTTAAGAATCCGCCTGCCAGTGCAGGGGACATGGGTTTGAGCCCTGGTCCAGTAAGATCCCACATGCCACGGAGCAACTAAGCCCGTGCGCCACAACTACTGAGCCTGCGCTCTAGAGCCCACGTGCCACAACTACCGAAGCCCACATGCCTAGAGCCCATGCTCTGCAACGAGAGAAGCCACCGCAATGAGAAGCTGGCGCACCACAACGAAGAGTGGCCCCCTGCTCGCCGCAACTAGAGAAAACCTGCAAGCAGCAACAAAGACCCAAAGCAGCCAAAAATAAAATAGATACAATAAATTATTTTATTTTAAAAAATCATTTTAAAAATAAACAACCATTCCCCTCCAGCTTCTAGCAAGCCAATAACTCTAACAACAAAATAATAACCAAAAGCTGGTATTTTAAATCAGGTTATCTGTACTTTGGCTTCAAAAATATGCATTTCTCATTATTATTTACTGCAGTGGTGGGCTCCTTCCCCAGAACTGAAAGTTATATTAACTTCATGGGGATATAGTTTGGAAAAAGCTAGCCAAACATTCTAGAAACAAACACTCAGAAATAAAAATAAAATCCATGTGCAAAGTAAGCTGGAGCAGGGTTTCTCAAGCTTTAATATGCACACAAATAACCTGGAGATTGTGTTAAAATATAGACTCTGGTTCACTAGGTCTGGGGTGGGACCCATGCTCTGCATTTCTAACAAGCTCCTAGGTAATTCTGATGCTGACAGACCACACTTTGAGTAGCAAGGAGCTAGAGAACCCTAGCTAAGGAACAGGCAATGCACCAAAGCACTCTCATTTGCTGATTTCCTCACTTACAGACCAGATTAACAATTAAGACACATCCCTAAAGTCGGGGAAAGATACTGCATTTTTAGTTCTACATAAGTTACTTTGTGTGTGTATATCTCTTCTAGGACACGGGGAAATGGATTTAGTGTTGGTGCCTTTCTTTCATGGACACAGAATTTTAAAGACAAGAGACTAACTTCAATAACAGGATATTTTTCTCTGACCTGTACCCTCTTTAGAAAACTTTAGAGGTGGTCTCTTAACTAAGAACAACAGAGCACACCTTAAAAGTCCATGTCATTTCATTCACTCCAGCCAGAACCATCCCTGGAAGCACCACTATACAATGTCTTCCACTGTAAACCTGCGGTGCAAAGCCCCACCCTATTTCCAGTGCTCTTTCATTTCAGGCTGACAGGAGGGTGACAGTGGATAAAAAGCCTGGATGGACAGGAAGACATGCTCAGTAGTGCCCTTCATGGTCTAGAAAGAGTTTTGTTTTGTTTTGCTTTGCTTTATAGACTGGGTTGCTCCAAATGCTTCGTCGGCACAATATAACATGTGTTTCTTTTCCTGGGCTACTATCCCCAAACTGCTTTCCCAATTATGGCCCTGACTGTAATACTTCACAGATGAAAGCAAATACCTGCCAAGTGATACTGACATTCAACGTTTACCTGATAGAACAGCAACCAAATAAAACATTTTTAAATCTCAGTGAAAATCTTCATCAAATTATGCCCAAATCATTATATCCTTAGCATTTCAAGTCTCCATTCTTTAAATAAACATGGAAGAAAAAAGTAGTGCCTGTATGAAACTTCTTTATAGAAACTTTTTCTACATGGCTTCTGAATCTTTAGAAGTAAGATCTTGCTACTCCCACAAAAGCTGTTTTCATCCTACAGATCCAGACTTCTTTCTAAATCTAATCTCTAAAAATCTTTGGCTCTAGTTTATACCAATTAATAGTAGCTAATTACTCCATTATACCAACCTGTTTGCTTCTGTCAAATGAGAGTGCTACCTATATGACAGAAGGAAAACTCAAGTAGGTGAAAGTGAAAACAAACCAAAATAACAAAAAACACTGTGCCCTTTACCACTGTTCTTCTGTGTGGAGGAAAGTTTCTTCTCATTTATCCTCTCATGGTTGGTGGGAAAGGCAGACATCTCTCTATCTGCTGCTGATACCAGGCTCTCCAGGGTGGTGGCATCTTGGGGAAGATGTGCCAAATAAGTCTCTTTGGGCACCTGGACCATAAGGCTGGACAGTGTCTGATCTAGAACATCCTCTTCAGCAATATAGGTGTATGGACAGTATTCTCGGGTCCGGGAGTAGATGTTAGCATTGTCATAACAATCCGAGCAGATAACCCTGGTGCCAGTGCCACCTAATGACAACACGGGAAAGAACCCAAACATCCTTCAGTTAAGGAATCAGTTTTGCCAACTATTGGTTTTCTCTAACAGTTGTCATCATATCTGGCATTTGTCCAAAACTTGCATTATAAACCAGATGAAGTTTCAAGGTCTTTCTGTGAACTAACTAATTTAATCTGTATAACATCCCTAAGAGGTAAGTATTATTATTATCCCTATTTTACAGACAGAGTAACTACAACACAGAGAGGTCAGGTAAGGCCCAAAGACATACTGCCCGAGTGAAGAGCTGCAATTTAAACTCAGGCCCTCTGGCTCCAGCACCCATGCTCTTGAGTAGTACATTAAGCCTTCTCTGTCCAGCTTGGATAAGGTCATGTGCAAATCAAGGGAGCCAAGATAAGGCTGGCACTGTGCTACAAAACACATGTTTGGCTTAAGCAAACTAAAGCAGAGAATGAGGGGTTTTGATGACTTTATTTCACAAAAGCCCACATAACTATTGTTAAGTCAAGAGGTTAAGCAACACTAATTGCTAAAAGGACCCCTAGAGAAAGCCTCTGACGGTCAAGAGTCCTCCTGACAAGTGTGTGTTTGGCAGAAGTAAAAGTTTAATAATGAGCTCCCTGGACAATTATGTGCTTTGAAAACTGAATGATAAAAAAAGAGGAAAGTGAGAAATAGAGACTTACTTATTCATGTTCAAGCAACAGAATGTTAGAACTGGAAAAGAACAGGAAGTAATTAAGTTTAACCCAGAAAGCAGTGTTATTTCCTACAAATTTCAAAAAGTAGAGGCTTTTAAGTATTCTTTAAAAAGCTAGAGGGGCACTTCCCTTGTGGCGCAGTGGTTAAGAATCTGCCTGCCAATGCAGGGGACACGGGTTCGAGCCCTGGTCCGGAAGATCCCACATGCTGCGGAGCAACTAAGCCCATGTGCCACAACTACTGAGCCTGCACTCTAGAGCTCATGTGCCAAAACTACTGAGCCCGCGTGCCACAACTAATGAAGCCTGCGCACCTAGAGGCCATCCTGGCCGGAGAACTAAGATCTCACAAGCCGCACGGTATGGCCAAAAAGAAAAAAAAAAAAAAAAAAAGCCAGAAATACCCCCCTTTCCATGGAAAGCCAAAATAATGCAATAGAGCTTCTATGTGTATAGTACTTGAAGTAATACAAAGATTTGTGGCAAGAATATTTAAGAATCATGAGAGAAATGCTCTATAAAATATTGTTTCTTTATTTTTAAAATGAGGAGATTAAAGCTCAGCTTTTAAGTAACTTGTTGGTGACCACATGGCTGGAAAGAGGAACTGGGAGTCAAACCGAATTCTACCCCTTAATTCACTTCCCTGTGTTCTGTCACTCCCTATGGGAAGAGTAGAGTCGGGAAAAGTAGTGTTGAGAAGTCAGGTTCACTTAACTATTTTATATCTCTCTGATGTTCTCCAATATAAGCTGAGAATCATCAATGCCCTTTAAACCTTAGTGAATATCTACCTGTCAGCAGGAGATACAACCTCCCCTGGATATGGTCTGAAGGGCGCTCATGCCTGAAAAGGATAAAAGACACCTGAAGAAAGTTTCTAGAGCACCTCCTTCCTACAACAATACTTTGGTTTGGGAGCCTCTGCTGTGTTCTCCAATCCCTTGTTTAAGGATGTGTTACTCCTTTCTGTCAGAAGATTTTCTCCTCTGTTAAGACTTTAGAGCCTGAACCAAGATGACGGAGTACAAGAACGTGCTCTCACTCCCTCTCACACCAGAATCATAACTAACTGTTGAACAATCATCAACAGGAAGACACAGGAACTCACCAAAAAAGACACCCCACATTCAAAGACAAAGGAGAAGCCACAGTGAGACGGTAGGAGGGGTGTAATCACAATAAAATCAAATCCCATAAGGCTGGGTGAGTGACGCACAAATTGGAGAACACTTATACCACTGAAGTCCACCCACTGGAGTGAAGGTTCTGAGCCCCAGGTCAGGCTTCTGAACCTGGGGGTCCAGCAACGGGAGGAGGAATTCCTAGAGAATCAGACTTTGAGGTCTAGCGGGATTTGACTGCAGGACTCTGACAGGACTGGGGAACACAGAGACTCCACTCTTGGAGGGCACACACAAGTACTGTGCGCATCGGGACGCAGGGGAAGGAGGAGTGACCCCAGGGAGACTGAACCAGAGCTACCTGCTAGTGTTGGAGGGTCTCCTGCAGAGGCAGGGGGCAGCTGTGGCTCACCAAGGGACAAGGACACTGGCAGCAGAAGTTCTGGGAAGCACTCCGTGGGGTGAGCCCTCCCAGAGTCCCCCATCAGCCCCACCAAACAGCCTGCAGTTTCCAGTGTTGGGTCGCCTCAGGCCAAACAACCAAAAGGGAGGGAATCCAGCCCCACCCATCAGCACTCAAGCGGACTGAAGTTTTACTGAGCTCTGCCCACCAGAGCAACAGCCAGCTCTACCCACCACCAGTCCCTCCCATCAGTAAAACTTGCACAAGCCTCTTAGATGGCCTCATCCACCAGAGGACAGACAGCAGAAGCAAGAACAACTACAATCCTGCAGCCTATGGAACAAAAACCACATTCACAGAAAAATAGACAAGATGAAAAGGCAGAGGGCTATGTACCAGATCAAGGAACAAGATAAAACCCCAGAAAAACAACTAAATGAAGTGGAGATAGGCAACCTTCCAGAAAAAGAATTCAGAATAATGATAGTAAACATGATCCAGGACCTCGGGAAAAGAATGGAGGCAAAGATCGAGAAGATGCAAGAAATGTTTAACAAAAACCTAGAAGAATTAAAGAACAGAGAAGAACAATACAATAACTGAAATGAAAAATACACTAGAAGGAATCAATAGCAGAATAACTGAGGCAGAAGAACAGATAAGAGACCTGGAAGACAGAATGGAGGAATTCACTGCTGTGGAACAGAATAAAGGAAAAAAAATGAAAAGAAATGAAGACAGCCTAAGAGACCTCTGGGACAACATTAAATGGAGCCACAGTCGCATTATAGGAGTCCCAGAAGGAGAAGAGAGAGAGAAAGGACCCAAGAAAATATGTGAACAGATGATAGTCAAAAACTTCCCTAACATGGGAAAGGAAATAGCCACCCAAGTCCAGGAAGCGCAGAGAGTCCCATACAGGATAAACCCAAGGAGAAACACGCCGAGACACATAATAATCAAACTGACAAAAATTAAAGACAAAGAAAAAATACTGAAAGCAGCAAAAGAAAAATGAAAAATTACATACAACGGAACCCCCCCATAAGGTTAACAGCTGATTTCTCAGCAGAAACTCTACAAGCCAGAAGGCAGTGGCATGATATACTTAAAGTGATGAAAGGGAAGAACCTACACAACCAAGATTACTCTACCCAGCAAGGATCTCATTCAGATTTGACGAAGAAATCAAAAGCTTTACAGACAAGCAAAAGCTAAGAAAACTCAGCACCACCAAACCAGCTCTACAACAAATGCTAAAGGAACTTCTCTAACTACGAAACACAAGAGAAGAAAAGGACCTACAAAAACAAACCCAAAACAATTAAGAAAATGGTCATAGTAACATACATATTGATAATTACCTGAAACGTGAAAGGATTAAATGCTCCAACCAAAACAAACAGGCTTCCATGCAAATGGAAATCAAAAGAAAGCTGGAGTAGCAATACTCATATCAGATAAAATAGACTTTAAAATAAAGAATGTTACAAGAGACAAGGAAGGACACTACATAATTATCAAGGGATCAATCCAAGAAGAAGATATAACAATTATAAATATATATGCACCCAACATAGGAGCACCTCAATACATAAGGCAACTGCTAACAGCTTTAAAAGAGGAAATCAACAGTAACACAACAATCGTGGGGGACCTTAATACCTCACTTACACCAATGGACAGATCATCCAAACAGAAAATTAATAAGGAAACAGAAGCTTTAAATGACACAATAGACCAGATACATTTAATTGATATTTATAGGACATTCCATCCAAAAACAGCAGATTACACTTTCTTCTCAAGTCAGCATGGAACATTCTCCAGGATAGATCACATCTTGGGTCACAAATCAAGCCTCAGTAAATTTAAGAAAATTGAAATCATATCAAGCATCTTTTCTGATCACAACACTATGGGATTAGAAATCAATTACAGGGAAAAAAAACATAAAAAACACAAACACATGGAGGCTAAACAATACGTTACTAAATTACCAAGAGATCACTGAAGAAATCAAAGAGGAAATCAAAAAATACCTAGAGACAAATGACAATGAAAACACGACGATCCAAAGCCTATGGGATGCAGCAAAAGCAGTTCTAAGAGGGAAGTTTACAGCAATACAAGCCTACCTCAAGAAACAAGCAAAATCTCAAACAATCTAACGTTACACCTAAGGGAACTAGAGAAAGAAGAACAAACAAAACCCAAAGTTAACAGAAGGAAAGAAATCATAAATATCAGAGCAGAAATAAATGAAATAGAACAAAAAATCAAAAGCAAAGAGCAATAACACTAAAAGCTGGTTCTTTGAGAAGATAAACAAAATTGATAAACCATTAGCCAGACACATCAAGAAAAACAGGGAGAGGACTCAAATCAATAAAATGAAAAAGGGGAAGTTACGACACTGCAGAAACACAAAGCATCCTGAGACTACTATAAGCAACCCTATGCCAATGAAACGGACAACCTGGAAGAAATGGACAAATTCTTAGAAAGGCATAACCTTCCAAGGCTGACCCAGGTAGAAACAGAAACTATGAACAGACCAATCACAAGTAATGAAATTGAAACTGTGATTAAAAACCTTCCAACAAACAAAAGTCCAGGACCAGATGGCTTCACAGGTGAATTCTATCAAACGTTTAGAGAAGAGCTAATACCCATCTTTCTCAAACTCTTCCAAAAAATTGCAGAGGAAGGGAAACTCCCAAGCTCATTCTATGAGGCTACCATCACCCTGATACCAAAACCAGACAAAGATACTACAAAAAAATAAAATTACAGACCAATATCACTGATGAATACAGATGCAAAAATCCTCAACAAAATATTAGCAAACAGAATCCAACAACACATTAAAAGGATCATACACCATGATCAAGTGGGATTTATCCCAAGGATGCAAGGATTCTTCAATATACGCAAACAATCAATGTGATACACCATATTAACAAACTGAAGATGATCTTCAGTTTGTTAATATGATCTTCTCAATAGATACAGAAAAAGCTTTTGACAAAATTGAACACCCATTTATGATAAAAACCCTCCAGAAAGTGGGCATAGAAGGAACCCACCTCAACATAATAAAGGCCATATATGACAAACCCACAGCAAACACCATTCTCAATGGTGAAAAACTGAAAGCATTTCCTCTAAGATCAGGAACGAGAGAAGGATGTCCACTCTCACCACTCTTATTTGACATAGTTTTGGGAGTCCTAGCCACAGCAATCAGAGAAGAAAAAGAAATAAAAGGAATACAAATTGGAAAAGAAGAAGTAAAACTGTCACTGTTTGCAGATGACATGACACTATACAGAGAATCCTAAAGATGCCACCAGAAAACTACTAGAGCTAATCAATGAATCTGGTAAAGTTGTAGGATACAAAATTAACGCACAGAAATCTCTTGCATTCCTATACTCTGATGATGAAAAATCTGAAAGAGAAATTAAGGAAACACTCCCATTTACTACTGCAACAAAAAGAATAAAATACCTAGGAATAAACCTACCTAGGGAGACAGAAGACCTGTAGGCAGAAAACTATAAGACACTGATGAAAGAAATTAAAGATGATACCAACAGATGGAGAGATATACCATGTTCTTGGATTGGAAGAATCAAAATTGTGAAAATGACTATACTACCCAAAGCAATCTACAGATTCAATGCAATCCCTATCAAATCACCAATGGCATATTTTACAGAGCTAGAACAAAAAATCTTAAAATTTGTACGGAGACACTAAAGACCCCGAATAGCCAAAGCAGTCTTGAGGGAAAAAAGCGGAGTGGGAGGAATCAGACTCCCTGACTTCAGACTATACTACAAAGCTACAGTAATCAAGACAATATGGTACTGGCACAAAAACAGAAATATAGATCAATGGAACAAGATAGAAAGCCCAGAGATAAACCCACACACCGATGGTCTGCTAATCTATGACAATGGAGGCAGGGATATACAATGGAGAAAAGACAGTGTCTTCAGTAAGTGGTGCTGGGAAAACTGGACAGCTACATGTAAAAGAATGAAATTAGAACACTCCCTAACACCATACACAAAAATAAACTCAAAATGGATTAGAGACCTAAATGTAAGACCAGACACTATAAAACTCTTAGAGGAAAACATAGGAAGGACACTCTTTGACATAAATCACAGCAAGATCTTTTTTGACCCACCTCCTAGAGAAATGGAAATAAAAACAAAAATAAACAAATGGGACCTAATGAAACTTCAAAGCTGTTGCACAGCAAAGGAAACCATAAACAAGACGAAAAGACAACCTTCAGAATGGGAGAAAATATTTGCAAACGAATCAACGGACCAAGGATTAATCTCCAAAATACATAAACAGCTCATGCAGCTCAATATTAAAAAAAAACAACCCTTTCCAAAAATGGGCAGAAGATCTAAATTGACATTTCTCCAAAGAAGCCATACAGATGGCCAAGAAGCACATGAAAAGCTGCTCAACATCACTAATTATTAGAGAAATGCAAATCAAAACTACAATGAGGTATCACCTCACACCAGTTAGAATGGGCATTTTCAGAAAATCTACAAACAACAAATGCTGGAGAGGGTGTGGAGCAAAGGGAACCCTCTTGCAGTGTTGGTGGGAATGTAAATTGATACAGCCACTATGGAGAACAGTATGGAGGTTCCTTAAAAAACTAAAAAGAGAATTACCATATGATCCAGCAATCCCACTACTGGGCATATACCCAGAGAAAACCATAATTCAAAAAGACACATGCACCCCTATGTTCACTGCAGCACTATTTACAATAGCCAGGTCATGGAAGCAACCTAAATGCCCATCGACAGACGAATGGATAAAGAAGATGTGGTACATATATACAATGGAATATTACTCGGCCGTAAAAAGGAACGAAATTGGGTCATTTGTTGAGACGTGGATGGATCTAGAGACTGTCATATAGAGTGAAGTAAGTCAAAAATAGAAAAACAAATATTGTATATTAACGCATATATGTGGAACCTAGAAAAATGGTACAGATGAACTGGTTTTCAGGGCAGAAATTGAGACAGATGTAGAGAAGAAACGTATGGACACCAAGGGGGCAAAGTGGTGGGGGATGGTGTTGGTGGTGTGATGAATTGGGAGATTGGGACTGACATGTATACACTGATGTGTATAAAACTGATGACTAATAAGAACGTGCTGTATAAAAATTAAATAAAATTCAAAAACTCACAAAAAAAAGACTTTAGTCAATTTTTATCCTATTTTGCATGGGGCAAATGTTTTCACTGAGTAGCTTACTTTAAAATATTCCTTCAGATTACTGGGGAAAACTATACCCTTAAAAAAAAAACTAAACAGGGTAGGCTGAAATTGTAAGCACAGATAATAAAAAGTCATTACCATCAGCGCCTTTGTGTAAATATCCATTGGCAGGAGGCATAAGTTGCTGATGACTGCCTGCCTCAGAGTTGCTGTAGCCTTCCTGTGGCTCAGACAGTGTTCCTTGGGAAGACAGGTAGCTGGGAATGTCTGCAGGCAGATTGAGCTCGTCTGTAAAAGAGACATCTGTAACTCTCAAATCAAGTTAGGCAATTTAAGCCAAAACTCAGAAGACTATCTTGCAAATGTATTCTACTTTGGTACTAATGGCCAGGAAAATGTTATGTACCTAGGAACTCAACAATTCCTAGAATTTTCTCTGAAAATTATTTCTCACTAGAATTCTCCCCCAAGCTTCATTTTAAAAGTATTACCAAAAGAACAAAACCCTGAAGTCTGAAATCTTATCCATAGACACACTTCAGCAATCTATCTGGCTGTACCTCTTCTCTTACAGGATTTCAGGGTGGGGGACAGGTGTGAAAGACTGATCTCTGTCATAACGACTCCACTCTTCCCCAAAGGAAAATTACAATGGAAATGAGCCTTAGGTATTAAAGAAAGAAGGTGCACATGCAACTGTTTAAAAGAACAAAGTTTTGGGGGACTGTCTACAAATTCTTAAGCTTAT